ACTCATCTTCCTGAGTTCAAGTCTGGCCTCAGACCCTTACTAGCTGTGTGATCCTAGGCAAGTCACTTGACCCTGTCTGCCTCAATTTCTCCATCTGTAAAATGTTCTGGAGAAGGAAATGGCAAACCACTCTGGTATCTTTGCCAAGAAAACCCCAAATGGAGTCCTGAAGAGTGGGACTTGACTAAAACGAATGAACCAAGACACCAAAAATAGCAGGGGGCATGTCTTTGTTGGAGAGAAGAGGATCGAATAAGGATTAGTACTTTGCTTAGTGTCAGGTACCAAAGAGGAGGCAGAGCTCTTGTTTGATCTTTGAACTAGAAAGGATGCCACACAAATTGGCCAATAGGGATTTGATGCCTAATATAAGCAAGGAGATAGTAAAAGAACTTATTGGTGAATTTAAGTGACTTGGCCCAGCTGAACTACATCCTTGAGAACTGGAAGATGTGATTGCCTATCTTCAGAAGACCATGTGTACAATGGGAGAGGCTCTTTAGAACTTAAGAAGGGCAAATATTTTCTTTTGAAAAAAGGAAAAGAGGATGGGGTCTTAGCTAGACTTTAATTCCCCAGTAAGATTTTAGAAAGTAATATTGAAGGGATGTTTAGGACACCTATTAAGGTGAGTGTTGATCCTGAAGAGTCAGCATGACATCATTAAGGTTATGACAAACTAAACTCTGTTTTTAATAGTTAACAGACTGATAGAGCAAGGAAATGCTGTTGATTTAGTTTACGTAGATTTTGGCAAAACATTTGACTAAGTCTGTCATGCATTCTTTTGGATTACAGAAAGACAGAGACAGAAAGGTAGGGGTAGATGATAGCATAGCTAAATGGCTAAATGGATCTAGAACTGGCTGAATGGCCAAACCCAAAGAGCAATAATTAATAGTTCAGTATTACCTTAGAAGGGGATCTCCAGTAGAGTGACTCGGGAAGCTGTTCATGATCCAGTATGGGTTAACATTTTCATCAGTGACTCGGATAAAGATGTATAAATAACATGCTTATCAGATTGTCAAATGACCCAGAGGTAAGCGAGACAGTCTCAGGATTTTCAGAGTTCTTTCTTCAAAATCTATAATGTTAGGACAAAACAAATAATATTATGTTTAGTTGAGATGAATTTAGGTTGAAATAATCAACTTCAGACTTCTTGGCTGGACTTCTCCATTTTCACAACTCAAACTCCCACACCATTTCCCATTCTGTTCTTTGTATCCAATATCAGAGGAAGACAAGGCCAAATCCTTTCTACTTACACCTTTGATCCCATTCCCTTTTTATCATTCAGGAGCTTCCTCCTTTAATCATCCTCTCTTTATAATTTTCAGTCATGCTTTATTCACTGGCTGTTATCCTAGGGGGGATGGGGCACCTAAGTGGCACAGTGGATAAAGTGCTGGTCCTGAAGGCAGGAAGACTCAACTTCTTGAGTTCAAATCAAGTCATTTAACCCACTTTGCTTCAGTTTCCTCATATATGAAATGAGCTCTAGAAGAAAATGGCAGGCCACTGCCATGTATTTGCCAAGAAAACCCCAAGTGGGTCACAAAGAGTTGGATATGACTGAAATGACGAAACTAATAATTTTTAAAAACTCTGTATGAGTCACCAGGGGGTTACCATGCAAGTTGATGCAATTATATGCATTACGTGCGTTAAGTGAAGCATCATGTCCAGGCCTGGGAAGTGTGTATTTCTGCTGTCCAATTCTTTGGTTTTATAGTTCAGTTCTGGGCACCATGTTTTAGGAAGGACAGCAACAAACTGGAGAGAGGCTGAAAGAAAGCTGCTGGAGTGGTGATCTCAAGGTCATGCCCTGTGAGCATCAGTTAAAGGAACTGAGGTTGTTTAGCCCGGAGAAGAGAAGACTTAGGGAGGGAAATAATTGTCCTTAAACAGTTTAAAGGGAATAAAAGGAAAAAGAAACAAGGGAAATGTGTAAAAGGGAATAAGCTTTTTCTATATGACTCTAGAAAAGTCGATTCCTAATGTGGGCGATACCAACCCCTGGGGACCTCCTCCCCCACTGGAATGATGGCGGGAGGGGCAGTTATAGCCTTGGGAGATGCAAATTTTTTAAAAAACAGCAAAGGGTTAAAAAAAGTGGACTTTGAGGTGTGGGGGTTGCCACTGAGTAATTTCTTTTTTGAACAGGGAGTGGTAGGCCAAATAAGTTTGGGAACCTCTGCAGGAAGTAATGATACTACAATAATTATCATGTAGTATTAGTAATATTGTAGTAATAATACTGGAAGAGCAGCTAGGTGGCACAGTAGAGGGAATGCCAGCCTGGAGTCAGGAAAACCCGAGTTCAAAGCCCACCTCGTACACTAACTCTATGACCCTGGGCAAGTCACTTAACCCTGTTTGCCTCAGTATCCCCATCTGTAAAATGCTCTGGAGAAGGAAATGGCAAACCACTCCAGTATCTTTGCCAAGACAACCCCAAATGGGGTCACAAAGAGTAGTACACGACTATAATAAGTGAACAACAACAATGATGCTAGAATAATAAAATAATAACAGCTAGCATTTATATGTTGCATTAAAGTTTGCACAGTGGTTTGTGTATGGTTTCTCACATGAGCCACACAATGCCCTATGACATAGGTACTCTTATGATCCCTATTTTGCAGATGAGGAAACAGGTTAAGCTACTTTCCCAGAGTTAAGTAGCTAGTCAGTAAGTGTCTTAGACAAAATTCGGGAAGTGAGTAGATGGTACAAAAAAACAAATTTTGCCTTCATCTAAGGAAAACTTCCTAATCATTTGTTGAATCTTTTCAGTGGTGTCTGACCCTTTGTGACCCCATTTGGGGTTTTCTTAGCAAAGATACTAGAGCGGTTTGCCATTTCCTTCTCCAGAGCATTTTAAAGATGGGAAAACTGAGACAAACAGGGTCAAGTGATTTGCCCAGGGTCACACAGCTAGTAAGTGTCTGAGGCTAGATTTGCACTTAGGAAGATGAGTCTTCCTGACTTTAGACCCAGCATGCTATCCACTGCACCATCCTACTATCTGCCTTCAAATAATTGCTAAACCTATGAATAGCCTCCACTCTTAGGGGGATACTGATTGATAGTAAAGCAACATGGCTTATTTCCTCCATTAACAAAGAGCTTTGTTCCCATTCCTCAGAATGAGCTGAGTAGATGATTAAAGATCTCTAACTCCAAGCTACTATTATGTCTGGATAATAGACTTCACCACCATTCCTCCTACCTTCCCCACCAGCACTGATGAAGAATGAGGCTCACTGACTCACACACAACTGATGTGAGCCCTTTGTGACTAGCCCTTCCCACCCAGGATTGTGGCTGTGTTAATTACTGTCATGGTACATGGTCCAGGGTCAGAACCAAAAACAAACCTCTAACAAAGAGAGCAGTCAGAATTCAGGTCAGGTTACTCATCTGCAGTTGTGAACACCGAGATCAGGAATCTGGGGTGAGGCAGAGGCAGCCAACAGGAAGGCAATTCTGGAACACACAGTTCCAGATTAATTCTCAGTTAGGGTACTGTTAAGGGAAGCAAGCTCCCAGCTTCAGTTTCACAGACTGAGAGGCTGATGTCGCTTACCACCTGAGAGCAGATCCCCAGAGCCCTTGAACAGTCACCTTTATTAACTGAGTGGTGTCTCCTCCTCCCCCTGCCCCTCACTAGCACCCATAAATTTCAGAGGGTGAGACCAGCTACTACCTGAACAGGTATCATTTCTACAGTGCCTTTGACAAGTGACATCCAATCTCTGCCTGAAGGTCTCCACTGAGAGGGGACACTAACATCCCCAGACCAACCCGGCAGGGTCTCGTAGATTGCTTCAACACCCCCAGAGGGAATATATAAAAACATTTGTAAAGTAAACATTTCAGAAGGACGTCATAGAAATAGTAGCAGTATTTGGTCAAATTAATAAATATTGTGTTCAGTCCTACCTGAAAGTATCATATAATGATATGTGTTTATTTTCCGTGTTTATGTAACATAACCCTCCCAAATGGCCTCCATGTAAGGTGATGGACCGTGTCTCATTCAAAATTCACATCTCCCCCAGTCCCTAACATAGTACTTTGCACAGAACAAATCTTTAATAAATGTTCACTGAATGACAGAATCACTCAGATTTTAAAGCAAAGTTTTTTATTCATATGATTTGTATGAGGCTTCATCATTACATGGAAGTGACCTAGATTTGTGTGTGTGTGTGTGTGTGTGTGTGTGTGTGTGTTTTAATGACTGTGCCAAGCTGTCAGGTCTAACAGGCTGAAAAGATTGCCAGAACATTCCAGAAGACACACTGGTATTCAGGGATGAACCTTGCTAAGTTTGAAGAGGTTTATCACCAGAAGTTGGCCTCCAAGTGGTAATTTTTTTTTACCTACAATTTATGAAAATAGTCCCCTAAAAGCAGAAAGGATACAATGCATGATTGAAAGTATCCCCATTTAATGAAATTAACAAAATGTGAAGTATTCAAATGTCCCTAATAATGGGATCCGTATAGGTTACCAGGCTCTTTTGTAATATTAGTTGACCTTCCCATGTCGCCAGTTTGCTATGACAGTGTAACTTGAGTTCATGAAAGTGATTTGAATTTATCATCATGGAATCTCAATTAGCAAGATGTTGGGGAAAATGTGGTGTTGAAAGGTTTGCCACATATCAAGAATAAGTCACTTCTATGACATTAACAGCAAAAAATATAAAGTCATTATTTAAAAAAAATGCTCATTCATTCAAAAAGTTTGTATTGAAGTTCTTGTATTATACAGAGTACTATGCTAAGTGCTGTGGAAAATATAAAGTTTGGATAAGACATGATCCTTGCCTTCCTGGAACTTTCACTCTTAATAGAGGAATGAGGTTAAAATACAGATAACTATGAAACATTAAATGATAAGTGAAATAGAGATTCAGCAGACCAAAGCAGCAGAGGAATCCAAGGGAAAATGGTTATTATATGGTTATTAATGGTTATTTACAGATTGCAGATTTTGGTTTATCAAAATGGCGGCAGATGTCTTTGTCTCAGTCAAGGAGTACTGTATCTACCCCGGAGGGCGGGACCATCATCTACATGCCACCTGAAAACTATGACCTCAGCCAGAAGTCACGAGCCAGCATCAAACATGATATATACAGGTACATTGCCTTGGTATATAGTTAACCTCTTTAGAAGGTTATTCCCCTATTGCAAGATGGGGTTAAAAAAAATTGTTGGGACTCAGTGAGCAAGTTGTTTCTTAATTACAGGTATAACTCACTTTAATGCAATACAAATTCCTGAAAGGTTGTGTTAATCACAATCAGTTTTTCTACTGCCTTACATTATATTATCAGAGTTGTTGTTTTTAAAAAATATCAGTAGGAGCATCTAGGTGGCGCAGTCGATAGAGCTCCAGCCTTGGAGTCAGAAGGACCAGAGTTCAAATGTGGCCTCAGACACTTGACACTTACTAGCTATGTGATCCTAGGCAAATCACTTAACTCTGCCTCACCAAAAAAAAAATTTATACATATGTGTGTGTGTGTGTGTATGTGTGTGTGTAAGTGTATGTATATGTATGTATGTTCTGGGTGCTGGAGAAAAAGCCCAAAAATGAAATAATCCCTACTGGCTAGGAATTTACATCCTAATGGAAGAGAGGAAAACTATATCTCTAAACAGATTCAGAATAAATATAAAGAGAATTAATAAAAACAAATACAAGGTAGTTAGGAAGGAAAAGCACTAACAATTAACTTTAGATAAGCTAACATTCTTAAACAGACAAGGGGAAAGACTTTTTAAAGCATTCCTGTGTTGAATATTTTTGTGTATGGAGAAATCTTTTAATGCAAATAACTGCCCAATATATACATCTTTTTCATAATTTGGGGTTTTTGTGTACAGAGATGCCAGGCCACACCTGTGTTATTAGAACAATAGAGAATAATACGTATGCCACTTTCACGTTCCAAAGAAATAGGGCCATTTGACAAGAAAAAAAGAAAATATAGGATTTGAGAAATTTTTCCATCTCATGGGTAACTGCCTGATGTCTTACAGGTTTCATAGCTTTAGAGCTGAAAGAAATTGTAGATGTTATCTAGTCCCTCCCTTCATTTTGCAGATGAAGAAACTGAACCCCAGGGAAGTGGAGTGACTTGCCCAAAGTCATAGCCCAACAGGGAGTAAGCTAAATCCAGTGCTCTTTCTTTAATGTCTCTTTTAACGTGTTAATTATCTTACTTCAGGGTGTCACCCTATATTCTGCCTTTGGGTCATTTCACTGCTTCCTTAAGACAGGTAGAAGGCCCAGTGGATAGGATACCAGTCAGGAAGACCCATCTTTGTGAGTTCAAATCCTGCCTCAGACACTAGCTGTGTGACCTTGAGTGAGTTACTTCATCCTGTTTGCCTCAGTTACCTCTCTGTAAAAATGAGCTGGAGAAGGAATGGCGAAGCTACTCTTTGCCAAGAATAACCCCAAATGGGGTCGGCAAGAGTCCAGCAGACTGAAATGACTGAATAAAAAAGTGCAGGTCTGACCAAGTCACCTCCTCCAGTCAGTCTTCTGCAGTAGCTCCCAGTTGCCCAGAGGATAAAATATAAAATCTGCTGTTTAGCTTTTAATACCCTTGACAAGCTAGCTCCTCCCTGCCTTTCAGTCTTTCCATTTACTCCTCTGTGATCTAGCTGCAGCTGCGCTGGCCTTCGTGCTATTTCTCACATATTCCATTTCGCAACTCTGTAACTTTTCATTGGCTGTCCTTCATGCCTGAAATGTTCTCCCTCCTTGCGTCCCCTACTTCCTTCAAGATTCAGCTCACACGTGACCTTCTTCAAAAGGCCTTTCCCAGTCCCTCTTCACTATTAGTGTCGATTCTCTGAGATTGCCTCAATCAATCAACAAACATTTGTTACGTACCTATGTGCCAGGCATTGTGCTAGGTGCTGGGGACACAAAAGGAGGCAAACAAAAAAACAAAACAAAAAACCCCCCAAAAACCCTGCCCTCAAGGTGATTGTAATCTTAATAGGGGAGACAACATGCAAACAAATATATACAAAGCAAACTACATATAGGATAAATAAGATATAATAGAGGGATGGCCCTAGAACTAAGAAGGGTTGGCTAGCTGTGGAAGATGGGATTTTAGTTGAGACTTAAAGGAAGCCAGGGATTCAGATGGAGCTAATTGACTATGCCTTAAACTGAAAGCACTCCAGCTCTCACTGATTGGCCAATAATGGGCCCAACCCAAGCCTCAGTTGGTCATTGGGTTTTGTTGGCGCCAAGTGAGTGTAAATAGCAATTGTTTCTGTTCTGGCCGGAAACTGAGGGTCTTCCCCTTCCAGATGTTTTTGGGGGTTTGTTTTGAGTAGGTAAAAGAGGCCATTTTTGCCTCTTTTCTCATGTAGTCTTAATCACTTAATGGTTGTTACCTCAGACAAACTGAGACCTGGGAAAGACCTTAGCTTAAAAAAGCCAAAATCTCCCACTTCATCCAGGGCCATCTCCAGTCATCCTGATCTATGTCTTGCCACGATCCAGATGGCTCTGGAGGAGAGAGTGAGGCTAGTGACATAGCCCTGCCTCACTTAAATCCAATTCACTTGCAAGTCAATCACTTTCCTAATGTCATTGGTCCTCTTTGAGAATGACGGACAAAAACAAGAAAGGAAGCCAGAGAGGTCAGTAGTTAGAGTGGAGCAGAGAGCATTCCAGGCAAAGGAATCAAGCAGAGAAAATGCCCAGAGCCAAGAGATGGAGCATCTTGTTCGTGGAACAGCCTCCCATTTACTCTGCATATATACCTTGTATGTACTTCGTTGTTTGCACAATATATCCTCTGTTAGAATGTGAGCTTCTTGAGGGCAAAATCTATTTTTACCTTTCTTTTAATCTGCAGAATTTAGCATTATGCCTAGCACATAGTAAGCTCTTAAAAAATGCTTGTTGACTGACTTAACTGACCCTTTTCCAGCTAATGCTCACTGGGAGTTGATTGGTTCCTCACACCCCTGAGACTGTGAGTTGAATGGAATAACTTTGGTCTAGTCTGAATTGCTAACCTCAGGACTAATCCAAAACAGACTGCCCCCTAGAATTGTGAACTAGGTTAGACATCACTAGATTCTGTTCTGTGTCGTACTTCCTAAATAGTTAAGGAGATTCAGAGGGGATTATCAGTGCTCCAGTGATATCAGTAGGGATTTTCCCTGTAAATCTCTACAGTACCCCCCCCAACAAACACATAAATACATAAATATTCCAAGACAATAGAGTATTTAGTATTTGCCCAAGACAATAAACTTCATGTATCTAGGGTTCAATAAGGGGAAAACCCCATGAGGGAAAACCCCAGGATAAGTAATCTCAGTTGTCCTATTGTAACCTCTTATCTTTGTTTTCATAGTCTGTTACACCCTTTGTCCTCAGAACCTTGACAACAGATGCTACAATAAGCTTGACCTCTTTAGATATGCATCCCTAGTTTTTTCTTGGCCTAAGTGTAGACAGATCCCTTAGTTCAGTCAAAAGAATCCTATACTAGAAATGGAAGCATGGTATTTTTTGGTTTGGGTAGTTTGTTGTTTAGGGGATGGGCAGGTGTGCCTCCCATTTGGGCAGGTTTTCCCTTTCGTGCTGATTACATAACTTAACATTATAAGTACATTCAAGAGTTGTAGAACAAAGTGTGATAACAAGAGGCTGCCTTAAGAAATGATCTTCAAGAGTTAACATGGCCAAGAAATCCACCGAACCTGAGATGAGCCTTACCCAACTTAGTGAAGAGTGTCCTCAGATAAATGCCGTTCATACCATCTCTAGGCCTACATTTGAAGCTTTTCTTGATAAAGCACTTGGTGGAGCACCTATAATGTGCTAGCACAGTTCTTGAGGACCCAGAGTCACACTCATGCCACAACAAAGTATCAGGCTAACAGCGAAGTGAAGGGAGGGGAAAATAAAGCAAATTACAGAAGCTTACAAAAGTTCAGTCTTTATTCTGACGTAGCTAAAGTCTAGCTATGTGCTGGCCTCTCAGGCACAATTTGCAGGATACCCAGGCCTATTCTTCACTTGAACTCTATGTTGATTATCATCATCATTGTTATTTATATTACTACTATTGTTATCCTATTTCTAGTCTGAGGGATACTACTAGTGTTCATTTGCAGGGCAGAAATTGCTGGCATACCCTGAATCTAGTGGTAATAAGTCCTGTAATGCTCAAGTTACTAGGTCTTCCCACTTCCCTAGGTTCTTTCTGGTTCCTCATTCATATTCCACACCTCTTCAGTATTTTCTAATTCAGGTGAGTGATGTTTCCAGAATCCTTTAAGGTTTGCAATAGGAAAAATACTTTACAAAGAGAATAAAAGACAATTTCCACCAAAAGTTAAGTGGTGGGCTGTTCTTCCACAGTCCCCACTATGGATTCACAGCTAATTAGGAGTTTGAAAATGAAGCTTTTATTTCAAAAGTGAACCATACTCACATAGCTGAAATTATTTTCCTCTACCAAGAGTTAGCTAGCTTGTAAACAGTCCCTTGAGGAAAGGTTATTCCAAAAAAGAGTGTTAGCATAGTATTTGGATTCCCTAATTTTCTCTGACTCTGGAAAATGAAAAGCATCTTGTTAAGCAGTATAAAAAAAAAATCCAGGTATCAGTTAGACTGTGAAACTGTTTTAGTTTTAGTTTTGTCTAAATAATGAAATCCTCATATTTGAAGGTACCCAGTCTAGTTCTTGAAATATGACTACTCAAATTAATCTAGAGTGATTAATATCTGTCCAGTCTTTAAAGATCTACAAAATTAATTCAACTTCGAAAACAGAACTAACTTTTTTCCCTTAACAAAAAAAAAATCAAACACTAGCCGCCTTGGCCTCTTTGGACATGTAGTATTTCTATTACATTTCACCATTGCATCTGTTTCAAGAAAAGACAGCGCTATCCACATCCAGTGAGAGGATTATGGAGTCTGAATGCAGATCGAAGCATACTATTTTCTCTTTCTTTTGCTGTTTTTTTTTGTTGTTTTTTCTTTCTCACAGTTTTTCCCTTTTGTTCTGATCCTTCTTTCACAACATGACTAATGTGGGAATATGTTTAATATGATCATACATGTATAGCCTATGTCAGATTGCGTGCTGTCTTGGGGAAGGGGGAAGGAAGGGAAGGAGGAGAATTTGGAACTCAAAATCTTGTAAAAAACGAGTGTTGAAAACTAAAAGAAAAGACAGCACCATGGTCAGCATCTATAATCTGTTATTTCTAATATGTAGACTGAGTTTATAAAACATTCCAATATGTTTCTCCCTTACCCAGCTTTGCTATTATCATGTGGGAAGTGTTGTCCAGAAAACAGCCCTTCGAAGGTAAGTAAGCTTGATCAGTTTGCCCACCTTACTCTACTTAAAGACCTGTTAAATGGCCATATGTGCCACCAACTAAAAATAATCTTATTCTAAATGTACCTAATATTTAATAAAGCATAACAATGGAGGCACCATGTATAGTGGAGTGGAAAGAGTACACTGGATCAGGAATCAGGAAATTGGTCAGGAGAGTGCTGGTCAATGTTTAACAACCAGGTCTCTGAAAATGTACAAACATGCATTATTAACATTTTCACCATTACTTTCTTAAGTCTAGACAATCAACAAAAAATCTCAGGCCCTAATTTGTAATGAAGTATCAGTTGGCTCCTGAGAGCCAGTACAAGCTGACTCAAGCACACTCCTGGTTAGAGAACCAGCTCTGTGCCTAGGTAACTGTGGGAACCTGGATAAGTCCATTTTTAAAAAAGATTTTTCCAGGTAGTTGTTTTGGGAAGGGCATATTTTCCGCTTAGTATTTAAGATTCTTGATAACCATTTATGAAATTTTAAGACTTGCCCATTTTAATTTGGTTAGTTTTGATCATATTGATTGCATCAGGTCCTAATTAATGTCTAATAAATGTGTGGTGTCTGTTTTGACAGAATTTATCAACCCCTTGCAGATAATGTATAGTGTGTCAAAGGGAAATCGACCCGACACTGAGAAAGAAAGTTTACCACTTGACATTCCACATCGAGCTGGGATGATTTCCTTAATTGAAAGTGGATGGGCACAAAATCCAGATGAAAGACCATCTTTTTTAAGTGAGTTTATTCATTTAATCTTGAGTCATTTAGATTCCCCCAAATCCCCAAAATATTGTAATTGTGTCATTCCAAGAAGTCTCTTACCCTGGTAAAGTCATGCAAGTGAGAATGACCAGCACTAAGTCTACTTAAGTTTTTTTTGTTGTCTCAGATTATATCATGTGGTAAAGCTTTTGTCTAAATTTTAAATGATACATATATTGGACTGAACTTAAAATCAAGATGGAAATACACAGTAAAGAGTGGGTGTTCCACGTGAAAATTTAGAAGTCCAGAGAGAGCTAAATAATTACATCAAGGAAAAATGGAAATATAGAAACATCCCAAATCAACAACCAGTCATCTTCTCCCTCCCCCCCCCCGGGCAATCAGGGTTAGGTGACTTGTTCAGGGTCACACAGCCAAGTAAGTATCTGAGGCCATGTTTGAACTCAGGTCCTCCTGACTCCAGGGCTGGTGCTCTATCCACTGCACCACCTAGCTTACCCCCTATAAGCAGTCATCTTAAAAGAAGTTTTAATTATCTTTATGAGAACTGCAGGTGAACTGAATGAAAAAGTAAATTTATTAGAGGTTTTTGTTGAAGGGAAAGTTCAAACATAATTTCTTAATTTTGGATATCTTTTTTTGGATATCTTTTAATCTAGATATAACTGCTTAAAAACTTTTTAAATAAATCAAAACCCCATTATAAATGATTATACTGATTCTAGAACTAAAGTTGGCTATGAAAATAGCAAGGCACATCAGATAGTAATGCATTTGTTTTATATCATTACATGTTCTTCAAGGAGCACCATCATCAAACTATAGTGAGAAACATTGAATTTGCTTTGAATTTTGTTTAAACTCCACTCATTAGAATTGGCTTTCATTGGACATAGACTGGGCTGAAATTTTCCTTTTTTAACAGACCTCTTATTCACAAGTAGTACACAGTGAAACTGTAAACATGGCTATGGGAAGAATGTTTAAATTTCTGGAGGGTGTTTAAAATGTCTAAGAGAAAAAGGCAAACATTTTAAGTACCTTTCAGGAGCTCTGATTATGCCATGTATTATTGCTGTTCTGGTTAAAGATCATTCACATGGCTTCACTAAAGCAAGTCTAGGGATAAAGTAATAAAAATAAAATAAAAGTAATAAAATTGAGTTTTCTCAAATATTTCACAAATTTTACTTCCTTAGTTACTATAATTTAGGGCAAGGATTCTTAACCTCCATGGAAAGATTTCAGGTGGTCTGTGAACTTGGATGTGGAGAAAAAAATTACCTCTTTGTTTCCATTATTTTTGGTTTCTTTTGTCATCATATGTATTTTATGCATTTAAAAGCATTATTTTGAAACAGGCTGCATGTGCTTACCAGAGGGGAGACACACACACACACACACACACACACAGAGGATAAGAACCTCAAATATTATTTAAAGGGCATGTATATGTGTAGCAAAGACTATGTATGTGGTCCTAAGCATCTTTTTCTGAATAACTACATTTTATTGATCTTTACAAGTTTTTATCACTAACCTTTATTATTGAATTTGATGGAATGTGATTTTAAACGAAAAATAAAGAAAAAGCTTGAACTTAAAGTATATGGTTGTCTTTTCTAAGGAGACAACTCTTCATTCTTAGTGTGCACTAACTATAAAAGAGCACTATAAAATCTCTACATTTTGAAACTATGAATGGAAATAAAAGGGAGACAGATTCTGAATTCATGTAAGAAAGAAATTCCCGTTACTGCTCTTGAACTCTCATAAGATTACTGAGTTCTGCTCATTGGAGTTATTCCAAGAGTCATTCCAAGAACATCCAAGAACAATCATTCATTCAAGGAAGACTGTTTAAATCCCTTTCCAATTCTGTGATTTCATAAAAAAAAAAATTCTTAAAAGTAGATAAGGAAGTTCAGATCATTTAAATTAGAATTGAACTGTAATTTGTAGCTGAAATTACTATTTTGTGTTTATGTTGACTTTTATGAGCTAACAGCTGAACACATGAATTTCCCTTTTTACTTAGAATGTTTAATAGAACTTGAACCAGTTATGAGAACCTTTGAAGACATTAGCATTCTTGAAGCTGTCCTTCAGCTGAAGAAAACTAAGGTAAGTAGCATCTGTGTTAAATATTAGCTGTTAATCACTGCACTTCAAACCTTAGGGAAAGGAGTTCAGCTTCTCCATAAGATCTTTCAGCTTTTCCTACGTGGGTCTTTTCAGCTAACTCAAGAAGAAATATTTTAGCAGTGGAAAGACTGTTAGATTTGGATCAAGAAGACCCAGATTCAAATCTTGCGTCTGACATTTGTTATTTGTATAACCTAGGCAGCTTCTGCCTGGGCTTCAGTTTCTTCACCTGTAAAGTGAGATTTGGCCCTTTCTGACTCTAAATCTGTTCATTTTATTTTTGTACATTTGTTTATTTATGAGGATGAGAATTTCTGTATCTATATAGCTGGGCCTGAACAGAGGAGACAGCAATTCCCAGAGCATATCACCAGTACCTTTCTCACTTTCCAACTAAACAGATATTAGATAATTTAGTTTTCCCCTCCCTTAAAGCCACCTTTCTCTTCTACCACATTCTTGAGACTCTGACAACTTTTCTCAGCAGGTCTTTTATTAAAGCAAAACAAGTGAACAAAAATTCACGTAGGGTCAATTCTTGTGCAAGAGCTGTTGGAGAGACAGTATTTAGGTCTTTTGTAAGGTTAAAGGTATAAAAAAAAATCAATAATGCAACTTTGAGAATGTGACTAGATTCTTATTCTTTACCTTGCTGATTAAATTTTGTATTTATATATACTGTTGCTACTGAAATAAAGTTAGAATTGGAGTAATTGGATGATTCAGTTTCAAAAATTGACTGTTTTCACATAAAAGCTCCAGGTAATTTGGCAAAGTGAAGTTTTGCTCTAGGACAGACTCCAGTTCTGTATATGATTGTCTTAGTTAAAGTTTGAAATTGACCATATATTTATATGGGTCTATTGTCTATAATAGAGCACCATATTAGTAGACTTCGACTATGCTGCAGAGTATGCCTATGTTTTTAGAATACCAAAGAGTTTAGAATACAATACATTGACAGGCATAGCTTGTAATCCCTGCTACTGGGGATTTCTTCAAAATAGATTATTTGCTTAGGACTACCTAATACTTTGGGAACATTTTTATATGTTCACCATTTAATAATACATTATATTTACATAGTGCTTTTAACTTTTACTATGTGTTGTGATATCAGTTATCTTATTTTATCCTCATAATTACCCTGTGAAACAGGGCAAAAGTTGTTCAGTCATTCAATCATGTATGACTCTTCATGACCACATGGATCACAGCATGCCAATACTGTCCATGGGGTTTTGTTGGCAAAGATACTGGAGTGGTTTGCCATTTCCTTCTCAAATAGATTAAGGCAAACAGGTTAAATGACTTGCCCAAGGTCACACAGCTAGTGGGTATCTCAGTCCAGATTTGAACTCAGTTCTTCCTTATTCTAAGACCAGCACTCTATCCATGGAGCCACCTAACTGAAAGTGAAGCACAGAGCCATAAAGAGATATGATTAATAATAAAGCCAGAAACAGAACTCAGGTTTCCTGAATAGATGACATTTCTGTTTCCTATAGAATTTTATTGGGGAAAAAATTCAACCATTCTTGCTGACTTGTTCTGTTTTAAAATTTTAGGTTCTTTCTGTTCAGCTTTAAATCTCTTCTAGCTTCAAGCAGTATATGCTTTCTAAAGCTAATTTTTCCTGTTTCTTTAGTGGCAAAAATTGAGACTCTTCTCTCCTCTCAAAAAAATGTCCCTTGGTAATTCACTGTATTTTCTCTCATTAATTAGTTATCATGATTCTGTTTGAATTTACCATAGTTACCAGGAATGTTACATGTATATCAATTTACATTAATCATTCAAAGAAACCTTTTTTGGCATCAGAATTATTTAGCTGAATTTTATAAGTACCAAAATAACAATGACAGAGATAGGTCTGGAAGTTTATTAAACTAATTGATTAAAGGAAAAGTCACTGATTTTTTTAAATCCCAAAGTATACAGTATTTTACATAAAGGTTACCCTAAAGTATCTTGAATTTTCTCTTCATTGTAATTCAAATAATCATTAAAGATAGGGATAGGCAAAAAGTTAAAATAAATTGAATTTAGATTTTAAATAGACCTTATTACGTTGCTATAATTTCAGTCATCTCTAAAGATACAAATCTGTTCTCTTTTATTACAGAATAATTCAAATATAATTCCTATATGTTCCAAGAAGACAATGGAGTACCCTCTCAACATACCTGTAAATCGTGGTCCACAAGAGGTAAAATATTACTTCATAGATTCTCAGGTCTGAAAGGCACTAAAAAGTCATAGCCCATCTCTGTGATTTTACAAGTGAAGAAACTAAGACTGAAAGGGGTGACTTGAATTGTGCCAAGTCATAGATCTAGGCACTGGTAGAGTTAGATTACAATGAAACTAATGGTACTTCTGTAATACCAGTTTCCTTCTATTGTTTTTGCTCTGATTCCCATTGTTAGCTGGGGTGCAAATCAGCATGACTGGTGATTCAGAAAGTGAGAATTTATGGTTATCACCTTATTTTACTGCATTATCTAGGAGAGTATAAATATCTTTCTGCTAGATGCCAAGGATATTTCCATTACAAGAAATGGACTTAATGATGCCAAGAATACAAGATCCCACTATGATAATTAATTGTTGCCTGTAAAAAAATTTTAATTTGATAAAACAAAGACTGTCCTCCGACAAGTTACCTCTTTTGCATATGTTAAAATCACAAAAGACTCTTGGAAAGATATAACCACAGAGAGCTATTTAAAACCCCTCTAATTATTAACATGAAGCAAGAGACATGTTTTGCCAAAAGTATACATTGACACGGAAGATGTTCAGTTTTTTGTTTAGTCCTTTTTAGGTCATGTCCAATTTTCCGTGACCCTATTTGGGGATTTCTTGACAAAGATACTGGAGTAGTTTGCCATTTCCTTCTCCAGCTCATTTTACAGATGAGAAAACTGAGGCAAACAGGGTTAAGTGACTTACCCAGGGTCATGCAGCTAAAAAATGTCTAAGGCCAGATTTGATCTCAGGTCCTTCTGACGCCAGGGCCAGGACTCTATCCACTGTGGCACTAGGATGTTCAGTAGAGAGTCTAAATGGAAGAGGGATACCCTACAAATGTTAAGGTCCTCCAAGGGTTCCATTTTGTAAGGGACATTGTGGTGACTGCATCGAGCTCCAAAATATTACAGAGCAAATGAGAACCATAATCACTCAGAAGAGTTTGACTGGATTGTCTACACAGAAAAAAATTGGTTAAAGAATGCCTGTTGTCTAGACCAAAAATGTCAAACACAGGGCCCAGGGTTGAGGCCTCATTAAAATATGACAGGGAAAAAATATAGCTTGGAAGTCTTTAACAAAATAAAAATATGATGGAATATAGATAAAGCTAATATGTGGTCACCTAAGTCAATATTCAGTCCACAGGAATCCTTACATACAGTTTAGTTGTCTCTCATTTCTATTTGAGTCTGACACCACTGGTGGTCTAGACTACAATATGGCACTTGATGAACGGCCCATAGATCTAATATATCAGTACATATATCTTCGACAGACGCTGTAGATGGATAGTGACTTGAGTCCGCAAATGAACAAGTGACAGAGAATAGGTTTTTCAAGTATATTTTCTGTGATCTAGTGATGCTGGTATACATGCTGTTTCTCACACAAAACATTCTATCTCCCAACTCTGGACATCTCTCCTATACCTGAAAATCCCTCCTTATCTCTGCCTCCTGGCTTCCCTAGCTTTCTTCAAATCAAAGCTAAATGCCTGCCTTCTACAAGAAGCCTCTCGGCCCTCCTTAATCTTAGTGCTTTCTTTCTGTTGATTATGTCCAATTGGTCACGTACTTATATATAGCTTGTTTGTATGTAGTTGTTTGCCTCTTGTCTACTTCATCATCATCTGAGCTCCTTGAGAGCAGAGACTTTTTTTGGCCTTTCTTTGTATGCCCAAAGTGACCAGCATACAGTAGGCACTTAGTAAATGCTTGCTGAATGACTACCTCGTTTGCATTTGGAAAATCGTATGGTGCTTTTAAGAACCCTAAGCTTCTCCTTCAGCCAATCAACAAGCATTTCTTAAGCACTTAAGATATCAGGCATTGGGACAAAAATGAAGAAATCTTTGCCCTTAAAAAGCTTAGAATCTATTATTAAGAGACAGAACCATGGCCTTTGAGGCACTTTCCTGCTGTAGGACTATGATCTTAAGTATATATTTTTTAAAAAAAGAAGATGATAAAGAAGGTAATTTTTTTTTAAAAGAAGACATTGGTAACATGGGAGATCAGAAAAGATCTCATGTGGTACTTAAGCTGAGCTCTGAAGGAAACTAGTCATTTTAAGGTATGGAGATGAGGGAAGGAGTACATTTCAGGTCTAGGGGACGGTCAGAGAAAAAGTAGAGATAGGATATGGCATATCATATGTGAGAAAGACCAAGGAGGACATTTTGACTAGACTACAGAGTGCATAAAGTATAATAATATATAATAAACCTAAAAAGATAAATTGGAGCCAGGTTCTTTAGGGCTTTAAATGTCAAACAGAGAAGTGTATATTTTATGCAAGAGGTAATGGGAAGGCTCTGGAGTGTTTGGAGCAGGGAAATGACATGATTCAGTGGAGATAATACTGTGTCTGAAGTCAAGAAGACCTGAGTTCAAATCTGACCTCAGACATTTAGTAGCTATGTGACCCTCGGCACGTCACTTGACCTCTTTCAGCCTCAGATTCCCCAGTTGTAAAATGGAGATAATATTAGCACCTACTTCACAGGGTTGTTGATCATATTTTTAAAATACTTTGCAAACCTTAAATCTCTATATAAATGCCACCTATTAGCCATTGTGCTTTAAGAAAATCATGTCGACAGCTGTGCAAATGGATGGATTCAAGAAGGGAAAGATGGGGCAGGGAAACCAATTAGGAGGCTATGGTAATAGTCCAGGTGAGACATGGTGAGGACTCGAATGAGGGTAGTAACTATGTGAGTGGAAGGAAGGGGAAAGATGCAAGAGATATGGAAATAGATTCAATGGGATGGATTGAACATGTGGGGTAAGGGAGAGTGAAGAACTGAGAATGACCCCTAAGGTTACAAGCCTAGGTGTCTAGGATAGTGGTACCCTTGATAGAAGTGGGGGAAGTGGAGAAATAGGTTTAAAGGTAATGCTAATGAGTTCTGTTTTGGACATTTGAAGTTTGAGATTTCTACAGAGGATCCAGTTCAAAATGTCAAATAGGCCTTTGGTGATATGGAACCAGAATATAGAAGAGAGACACCTAGGACTATAGAAATACATACCTAGGACTATAGAAATACATAATACATGTACAAGACCTACATACACATATAGATATAAATATAGGTATAGATGTATCATTTGTTAAGTAAGTGCCGGGCACTGTGCTAATCTCTGGGGATACAAAGAACAGCAAAAAAAAAAAAAAACAGCCCCTGCTCTCAAGGAGCTCACAGTCTAATGGGGGAGTTAACATGAAAACAACTATGTACAAACATGGTATTTACAGATGTATATATGTGTATGTATATACGTGTGGATGTATATTTATGTGTGTATATGTATTTGGTTAATGAGAAGTTAAAATTAGAGAACAATATATATGTGTCTGTATTTGTATATGGTATATGGTGTGTATGTACACACATACATAGACACTATATATGTTATATATGTATATATTCACACATACACAAACTACACACACACACACACACACACACGACTCAGTTGATTGTTCGCTCTCTTCCTGATTTTAACTTCTCATGAGCCAAATCCACAGAAAGTTAGTTCTAAGGATACTTAAAATGCAATTGTATTTCTTTTCTTTCTTTTTTTTTCTTTCTCCAAAGAAATAGAAGTGGACAGGAGGCTCAGGGATTAAAACATGATTGAGGGGAAAAGAAAGGGAGGTAATAGGGGTTGGTTGGTTATCATTTTGTTCCTCTTCGAGAACAAAGGACATCACTGCTCTAGAGTCAAGCTACAGCGTGTCCGACTGTGGCTGATCAGAACAATACAAGCTCAGAATGTTCTACCACACACAGGCACAGATACTCATGTGAACATTTGGGGTGGATTCTCTAAATTTGCACATCTCACATTTCTTTTGAGCTACTTCAGTTCTGCTTTGCTCACCTTTTCGGATGAGGGCACGCCATGCTGAGTTGTCCTGGGTCAGTGTCCCCCATGTCACACAATCAATCCCGGAATTCTTAAGAGAGACCTTGCGAGTGTCCTTGTATCTCTTTTTCTGACCACCATGTGAATGCTTGCCCTGTGTAAGTTCTCCATAAAATAGTCTTTTTAGCAAGCGTACGTTTTGCATTCAGACAACATGGCCAGCCCATTGGAGTTGTGCTCTGTGTAGCAAGAGTAATGGTAGACAGCTAAGGAGAGGTACAGGCCAATAATTTGGTTGGGGTCAAGTGACTAGATTTCTTAAGGATGGGGAGACCTGAGTGTGTTCGTAGGCAACAGGGAAGCTGCCAGTAGAGAGATACTGAAGTTGAGGAGGTAGGGGGAATGATTTGGGGAGAAATCTGTTGCAGGAGAGAGGAAAGTCTGAGACTAAGGGTAGAGAGAGATGTCTTAACACGGAATATGGCCATCTCTTCATCCTATGGCAAAAGGAAGAGAGGCTGGAGGTCAGTTAGTTTTGAGATAAAAAATAAAGGGAGAAGAAAGAGCTTATAACGAATGACCTCAGTTTTCTCGGTAAAATAGTTCTTCAAAAAAAGCCCAACTTTTAATTATCAGTTTTCCTCCAGTGATTATCACTTCAGGTCACTGAATACCACATTCTACAAAGAATTAAAGTTATAGATCACCCAAAGGGCAATGAAGAGGTATATTGGAGGACATGAGTAGGCTGCTGCATTGTGTCAATGAAGAATTTTACACAAAAATTGCGTAAAGATTATCATCCAAGAGATATAAACCAGAAAAGGAAATGAGCAAGTCATGTAGCAATAGCAAATGATTACTAATCAGAAGCCTGAACACTCTGGTGGTAGATGTAGAGGAAGATTCCCCAGAACATTGGGCTATCCTCTGTGAATGACTTATGGTAGATTCATGTGCTACAGTCACGTAGGATGAGAAAGTAGTATATTTTGCACTGTTGGAGATTGCTTACATTCATGAGATCACAAATCCATCAAAGTAATCAAGTTAAACTTGGGATAATCAGTGAATCCATCACTAATTTTGGTTTTATTACTTTAACCTTAAGGAAAACATATTTTATTGATTACCTTTCTATAAAATTCTTTTTTAACTTCTTTAAATTTTCTTTATTAACAAGCATTCATTTTCTCTCCCACTTACCACCCTTCTACCAAATAGAAAAAAAGAAATAGAGAAAAACCCTTTTGGCAAATATACATAGTCAAGGAGAACAAATTCCCATACTGATCTTTTCTAAAACCACATGTCTCATTCTGCACCCTGAGTCCATCACCTCCTCTCTGTTAAGTGGTAGGTAGCATGCTTCTTTATCTATCCTCCAGAGTCATGGTTGATCAGTGTTCTCAAGACTTGAAAAGTTTGTTCTACAGTGTTGCAAATGTTATGCATTGGTTCATACAAGTCTTCCCAGGTTTCTCTGAAATCCTCCCCTTCGTCATTTCGTAGGGCACACTAATATTTCATTGCATTCATATGCAGTAATTTTCTCAGGCAATTCCCCAGTGGTAGGTAGCCTCTTAATTTCCAGGGGGTTTTTTGCCACCACAAAAAGAGCTGCTGTAAAAATGTTTGTGCAAATGGGTCCATTTCCTGTTTTTTAAATCTCTTTAAGGGATAAGCCTAGTGGTATCATTGGGTCAAAGGAAATGCACAGTTTAGTGATGCTGAGGACATAGATCTGAAATGCTTCCCAGAATTGGCCTCCTGACAGCTACTAATAAGGATCATAACACTTTAAACCTCACCATTACTCAAAACTGTACAACTTCCAAGATCTTGAACTCTCAAGTCCCCTTCTCTTATAACAATGTTCTGTTTTTCCTCCTTTCCTCCCCACCTTCCTACTCCTCCTGAATCTGTTCTTCATTCTTACCATGACTTTGAGTCATTAAAAACTTTCCTGTTCTCCCAGTGTAGCACCCTTGTTCTGAATTTTTTTTCCATGGATTGAAACCATCAATCATAAGCTCCTTCATCTCCTATCTTCTGTATCTTCACACAGACTTTGCTTCAGTCTGAGAATGAGGTAGCTCTCCTCCTTGGTTAGGGCAGGCTTTATCCTAGCCTTTCTTGGCCTCTTCAGAAATTTTGCCCTGTTGATTGCCCCCTTCTTACATTTTCAGTCTACAAAGTTCTCAAGTCTCTACTCTCCAGAAAAATAAACAAAACTCTTCCCTTAACCTTGCCATTACATTAAGACACCATCATCTCTCTTTGACTGCCAAGCATCTAAAAAAACAAGCAATATACGATCACTTCCTCCACTTCATCACCATCTGTCTGTCCATCCATTCTTCAGCTCCTTGTAACTTGTATTCCCATCCGATCACTACTGAAACAGCTCTTTCCAGACACTTTTATTCCTCTGTCTTCATCCTCCATGGCCTTTCTGTGGCATGTGACATTGCTGACCCCTGTCTCTTCCTGGATAGTCTCTTTTTTTCTGGGCTTCCATAACAATGCTTTTTTCCATTTCTCCTCCCTAATTCTTCACTCTCTCATATCCTTTTCTGCTTCCTCCTACTCCTCTCTCAAAGCTATGTCCTCAGCTTTATTTTCTTGTCTTTCTATAATCTATCCCTTGGTGATCTCACTTTTGTGCTAATGACTTCCAAATCTGTATTCCTAGCTCCAGTCTTGCCTCCTCAGTCCCATCTCTCTAATTGCCTCCTACTCAACTCTACCTGCCAACACCTTAAATTTGACATGGACCAAAATGAACTCATCTTCTTTAAATATACCTGTACTCCCAACTTTCTATTTCTACTTACAGCACTACTATCCTCCTAGTAACCCAGTCTTAGAGCTTTGGAGTCATATTAGACACTTTCCCTAACAATCCACAGCCAAGTAGTTACAAAACCTGATAGATTCCACCTATTCACTGTTTCTCATATCTGTCTTCTCCTTTCCACCCTAATCACTTCCCCTTGGACTATTGTAATAACAACTTTCCTCTACTTGATTTCCGGGTTCCTGTCCATTCTTCACACAACTGTCAAACCAACTTCCCAGTGCACAGGTCTGATCATGAATTTAATTAAAAACATCAGCAACTTCCAGTGTCTACTTATAGCCTATCAGATAAAATATAAACTCCTTACCTTGGCATTTAAGACTCTGCACATTCTAACTCTAACCTACCTTTCCCTTTCTGTGATCCAGTCAACTTGGACTACTCTCCATTCTTGTCCTGTTGTCTCCTATTTTCCACCTTTATCCACCTTTATCCTTCATGCCTGGAATATGCTCATTTTTACTTATTGAAATACTCTTTTCTTCAAAATTTAACTCAGATTTCAGATTTTCCAATGAAGCCTTCCCTAGACCTGTCAGCAGAAATCACTTTTTCCCTCTTTAAATTTTCCTGGTGCTGTAGGAAAAATTTCCTTGTCTGAATCATTCTCACTCATGTATATGAGTGCCCACTCGCATATAACATTTAATATTATGTGTACTTACTTATGAACATTTCATATCCTCCAAGTGAAAAATATAGCACCCTTGAGGGCCAGGACTGCCATCACTTATCTTTGCATCTCTAGTGCCTAGCATAGTGCTTTGCACATAGTAAGTTAAGCATTTAAATTATTTCTGTTGAAATTAATTAAACATCAATGCCATATAGTTTCTGTGTAAGACTATAAGATGTGAATAACTGATTCATTCCAAGTGCCCATTTCTTGAAACTATATTACCTTTCTGATGGTGAAACTCAACTGTGAACAGATTAAGTTACTTTCTGTAAACCAACAGCCAAAGTCACCAATTTCAGACATTGTTTTATCCAACATGAAAAAACTCTTCAACATGCGTAAGGAATGATGGGGGAGGGAGCAGAATCTCCCTATGAGATATTCTCGTTGCCATCACTCCCTAGATTCTATGGATAATAGAACTAAGTATTTAAGTTATGTTAAGTATTTCATGTCTTTCACTTGATTTTCTGTTCTTTCTTTTTTTTAATTGTACAATTTATGATGTCGGAGAACTGTTTGGAGTAAAAAGAGGTCAAATGACCTACCCAGACAGCTGGTAAAAGTCAGAGGCAGGATTCAAGCTCAGGTGTTTCTAACTCCAAGTCCAGTGTCCTATCCACTATGCCACACTGTCCATCTAAGACTATGATGCAAGTTCCACATACAGTCAAAACCCTAGGTCCAGAACAAAAAACAGATAAATAATGGTGCTTTAATTAATTATTTTTCATTTGAAAAGCAAACTTAAGGCTTCAGATCCTTTAGGAGTTATGCTATTAAATTGCTTTGGAAAAAATAATATTATTTTATTTATCTCTTTCTCACTTTAGGAATCATGTGGAACTCAGTTTACTGTAAGGAATGATCCTGAAATAGCAAGGTCCGTATCGACCACTCAAGACAACCTCTTTTCTTCTGGTGTGTAAGCTTGTCACTCAGTATTAATTTGAAAGTTTTCCTTTTTTCTCTTAAAATTCAACATTCTTAGAAAGCCACTGTCATTTATGTAGTACATATCTCCTATGTAGATTCAAAATCCATTGCAATATTAAATGTTAATAATGATGATGAAGATGGTGAGCTGCAGCATGGAGTAGCGGATGGAGAGCTATCCTCCAAATCAGGAGGACCTTGGTTCATTTTACCTCTGATATATAGAGGCTTTTTAACCCTGGGCAAGTCATTTGGCATCTCAGTGCCCCAAGGAAAATCCCTAAGATATCTCCCTAAGATAAACTATTATAGAATAATTCCCCAGATACACTGGTAAAAGAAATTTCCTCACCACAAATTCCTATACCAATGAAATAACAGATTTGGGACAGTAATAACAATCACAACTTAGTATAAAGAAGGACTTTAGGAAGACATCTTCAGTATGTCAAAAGATTAGGGAAAACATGAATAATAATTGCACAGGACAAGGAAATATGGATGGGGTGCAGTCTGCATCATTATGGGGAATAATCTCATGTTCAATGAGATCAATACATCACCTTGAGTTATATTATCTTATTTAATCCTAACAGGAACCCTGTGTTGTAGGCAGTGCAGGTAAAATAATTACTCTTTTATAAATGAGGTAGACAAGGCAGAGAGAGATTAAATAACTAGCCTGCAGTCACTAATCCAGTAAATGCCAGTGCCAAGCCTAGGACTCAAGTCTTCTGACACCAAATCTAGTGCTTTTTTTTTTTTACACCATCATAAATTGGGACTGGAGGGGGAGTGTATGTGTGGGAGTGGATGGGTGAGAGAGAGAGAAGAGAAGAAAAAAGAAAGAGAAGAGAAAGAAGAAAAACAAAGAGAGATGGTATGTGTGTGAGTCAGTGTGTGTCAGTGAGAGTCAGCGTCAGTGGAGAGCAGATGAAACAGACCACAGAATCAAATTGAAAGGGACCTAAGAAATGATTTAATCCAACAAGTAAGTGAATAAAAGCCCACTTCTGTAGCATTCCTCCAGCCCCTTCTAAAGATTTCCAGATGGGAAACTCACTATATCCTAAGGTGTTCCATTATACTTTTAGAAAGCTCTAATGGTTAGGTAGCTTTTCCTTATATTAGCTTAAGCTCTTCCTCTCTGCTAATTCCTCTCCTGGGATCAATTAAAATAAGTCTCATCCCTCTTCCTTAGAAGGCCCTTCAGATACTTTTCTAGTAATCCTTGTATGGTGTGATCATTATCCTTGGCGTGCTTACCTGCATTTGCTCTATCACAGAGGTGCGACATATGCTGCTGCACTCCAACAATGCTCCCGTGTGGCCAGGACCAGATTAAAATGTAATTGGAAAATATTTAACAGAATGGATAAAAATATAGTAGGACATAGATAATGTTAATATGTGGTTTTCTAACTTGATATGCAACCTGCAGGGATCCTAATGTATGATTCAGTGGCCTCTGTTTCTGTTTGAGTTTGACACCACTGCTGTAGCATGTAAATGGCCTTCCTAAATTCTGGAACCGCAACTAAACAAAATACTCTAGATGTAATATGAGCAGCAGAACTATGACTTTAATTTTTTATGATCATTGTACTTCTAATGGGCAGCTAGGTGGTACAGTGGATAGAGTGCTGGGCCTAGAGTCAGAAAGATTCCTCTTCCTGAATTCAAATCTGGCCTCAGAAACTTACTAAGTGTGACCCTGAGCAAGTCACTTAACCCTGTTTGTGTCAGTTTCCTCATCCAAAAAATGATCTGGAGAAGAAAATGGCAAACCCTTCCAGTATCTTTGCCAGGAAAACACCAAAAGGAGTCATGAAGAGTCAGAAACAACCAAAGAGCATATTTCTGATAATGAGACCGGGCTATATCATAGATTTGGCTCATATAGAGCACAAATTCTGCTAAAAAACCCAAATTTTCTTTCACATAAACTGTTGTCTTGCCATATTTATCATATCCTGTGCATATTTTTTAACCCAACTGTAGGACTTTACATTTATTCCTACTATAGTTCACTCCATCATTCTAGACCAGGTTTTCTTAAAACTTTTTTGGTTCCTGGACCCCTTTGGCAGTCTGGTAAAACCTGTAGATCCCTTCTCAGAACAATGTTTTAAATACATAAAATTACAAAGGAAGCCAATTATATCAAAACAACATCAACAAGATATTTTGAAAGTTCACAGACCCCAGGTTCAGAACCCCTGCTCAAACCTGTTGAGACCTTTAAGGATCTTATCTCTCGTCCAGAGTGTTAGCTAACTCCTACCCCAGCTTTGTATCAATTTACAAATTTGATAAAAATCCCATCTCAGATACTCCACTGAAGACCTCTTTCTGGGATGAAATCAATCCACTGATCACCATTCTTTGGGTCTGATTCTTCAACCAGTTTCAAATACACTTAACTGTCGTATCATAGAGCCTACTTTTCTCCATTTTGTCCACAATGATTATCATGAGATATTTTTTCAGGTACTCTACAAAAACTCAAGGATACTATAGCTACCACATTCCCCTAAGGCGCCAATCTGTCAAAAAGGAAATTAGGTTAATCTGGCAAACCAGACTGACTCAGATGAGTCACCACTTCCCTAAGGGCTCGTAAACTTTCCCTTTAATCATGTGTTTTTCAGTTTCGTGAAAAATAGAGGTCAAGACCATGCACCAATAGTTTAAAGAGTGTACCTTCTCCTTTTTGAAAGTCAGAAAGATGTTGCCCATTTCTAGTCCTGCACCATGATTTTTTTTTTTAATCACAAGCACATATGTAAGGTTCTTTGCAAAATTTTATAACTCCATGTTAATGCTAACTATTATTATTAACAATTACATTCTCAAATTTTTTCGCTAATTTGGGAAGTATCTTCCAAGGGCATGGTGATTTGTAGTCATTTGAAGAAGCTAAGCTGTCTTGTCTCCATCTGCCCACTTTTCAATTCCCCATTCCCCATTTTTATTCTATCATTTTTAATCTAAAAATCATTCTCTTTAGAAGAAAAAATGGAAACAAAATAGGAGTTGTTACTCTTTGTCCAGGTCTCTCTTCTTTTTGATTTCCAGGTTAAAATTCTTTTGACCATATCTGGCAGTCACTAGGCAAATATATTCTTCATGGCCCATATTAAATACATTCTATCTCTGACCAGTATTAATTAGATTAGACTAGATCGAATTGGCCCAGGAGTCCACTATTCTTGTATCCAAACCTTATTCTGAAACACCATCTTCATAGCCAAGCTGTTCTTTTCTGCATACTACTATTAGCACCACCACTATTGCTACTACCACTATTATTACTAGTACTGTTACTAGTACTACTGCTGCTAATACAACCACTACCCTCACCATTACTGCCACTGCCACTACTATTGCCACCACCATTACCACCACCACCACCACTAAAACAACTTCCACTACTATTACCACCACTACCACTATTACTACTAATAGTAATAGTACCACCAGCACCGCTATCACTACTATATACATACACATGCAATCTCATTTGATCCTTACAACAACCCTATGAGATAGACACTATTAATAACCCCATTTTACAAATGAGGCCCATCCCTTAATTCAGCAACTGTGACAAAAATACCACCAGTTCTTTAGTTTCTTGCCAAGGCCTTCATAATCTCTAGGGATGCTTGAAGGGTTTCTTTGGTATTATGTCTTCATGTGAATAACCAGAAGTTCCTGTCAGTTGTTGAGGTTGGCAAGTGTTGGGAGATTTTCCATGATATCGTTGGACCATCTAGAGAAGATGGCGTACCTCTTCTTTTTTCATGCTAAGTCACCTTATGAACACGATAGCAGTGAGCTGCCAACCACAACATTCCTTTCTCTACTGCCAGTACTGGATGCCATCTTTCTCGGCAACACAGGTAGATACTCATCTTCATTTCACAAGAGACGGATTCCTACCTAATTCAAGGCACAATGATTCTCTACCTGCTCCAGGAAGACTGGATTATAATGATGATGAAGAGGGTGAGCTGCGGCATGGATAGAGATAGAGTGGATAGAGAGCTATCCTCTAAATCAGGAAGACCTTGTTAGTATTCTCCTTCTCCTGAAGACATATTAGCTACCCTCTCCTGAGCAGCATTGTATTCCTTGGCAAAAGTTAAGCTGTCTGACTTCAAGGACTGGTTTTCAACTTGCCTTTGTATTCCCAGCCCTGAGCCTGGGTGCCTGGTGACATGGACTGAATGGAATGGGACTTCCAGGGTGATGGAAGGGATATTTTGCAATAAGACAACCTAATGAAAACTTTGTGTCTTACAGCACAAAATCAGGAGTGTTCAACACTGCCTCAGTCTGCCGTAAATCACAGTTGGGATGGTAACATTTCTTTAGTCCAAAGGGCTAAATTTTGCAGCCACCAGACAGCTTGTTCTTCAGCAGTAATACAGCCACTCACAGCCGAAGGAAATTCAGGTAAAACAGTTGCTACTTGATATTTTTAAATGGCATCATTGTCTATATGTAAATATGTCTCATAGTAAGACTGATTGTTTTGTACTTAATTCCATGATGATGATGATGACGATGATGATGATGATGATGATGACAATACTAATTAACATTTATATAGCACTTTAAGGTTTGCAAAGTGCTTTACAAATGTTACCTCATTTGAACCTGACAACAACCCTGGGAGACTGGTATTATTATTATCCTCATTTTACAGATAAGGAAACTAGGGCAGACAAAGGTTAAGTGACTTGCCCAGGGTCATACTGCTAGGAAGTTCCTGAGGCCAGATTTTTACTCGTATCTTCCTAACTCCCAGTCCAGAGGTCTATCTGCTGCCTATATTCATTGACACATCATACATTACCATGCTGCAATGTTATCAGTAGCATTGGTCAAGATGATGTTGCATGAATATCTGATGTGGAGAAAGATAAAGAATAGTATCTTAAGAATTGCCTATAGCTTAATACTTCTTAAATTGTGGAGTATTCAGGCATCAGAATATGCAAATGATATTTTCTTTGGAGAAAAGGAATTTCAGTGAATTCCATAAGTATCATTTGAATGCGTAATCTGTGCTAGTCACATTAGGTGATAGAGAAATGAGTAAAGTTGGATTGTTGTCCTCCAGGACCTTCCAGGCTAATAGGAGAGGTAAGACATGTGCTCAAAAACATGACAATGTACATTAGACTCTAAGTGCAAGAGAGATTATTTTCAACTGAGGTGAGATGGGATAAGCCAAAGCTGCTTGAGAAGGTGACATTTGAGGTGGGCTTTGATGGGTAAGATTTCAACAGAATTGGTAAGTAATACCCTCCTGACATGGTTAAAATGGAGGAAATAAAGGAACAAAAGTGGGGTAGTATGGCAAGAACAAATCACATTGTAACCTGGAAAAGAGAACCATTTTAAACTGAAAGACCATTTTCTTAAATTAAAAAAATAATACTCTATGCATCTTTGTTTTAAATATTGGTGAATTTAGAGTAAATGGAAAAGATGTTTTGGGTGGGAAAAGAGTACCCCACCTGTCTAGCATTGCCCATATTGTCAGTTTCACTTCCTTGTTCCATCTAAAAGAGCCATGCAAATGTCTGAGTCCAAAAGGAAAAAAAAAAAACCTCTTATCAGAAAATTCAGTGAGGTTAAGGTCCAAATTTTAGATGTCTTATTTTTCCCTTATGAGAGAAAATAGTTTTAATAGTTCAATTGATATTTATTATTTATATATTTCAACTATTTGTTTATTATAATATGTATTACACATTTGATAGTGCAATTCGACTAGTATTTTATTGCTTATTACTTATATATCTTTATTATATATTTAATAGAGCAATTTAACTGTTATTTATTATATATTTTTGTAGTTGGACTAATCTGTAGCAGTTGCCAGCTATGTTAGAACATTACGCTAAGCACTAAATTTAGAAAATTCGCAGGTCCTCCTCTCACAGAACTTGTAGTCTAGTAGAGGGATATCTCACGTACTTACTATAAAACAAATGCTTACCATGTACATGAAAGATACAAATGAAGTGCTACATGAAGTCCAAGGGGAAGAGGCCATTACTGACTAAGAGAACCGAGGAAGGCTTCTTGAAAGAAGTGGCATTTGATCTAGATTTTAAAGAATAGGTTAACTGTGCAATGTGTGGCAGGAAAAAAGGAGAAAATTCTGAAAGGCATAGACATGGAAAAGTGCAGGATATATATGGGAACAGAAAGTAACTTGGCCTGGAGCAGAGTAGTGTGAATAGGCCTGGAAAACCCTGCCTCACATCCCTTCCAGTCCATCCTCTAATTAGTGGCCAAAGATCACTTTCCTAAAGTGCAAGCCTGACCATGTCATAATCATACTCAATCAACTCCAAGCTCTCTCTCCCTATTACTTCTAGGCTCAAATATAAAATCCTGTGTTTGGCTTCTAAAGCCCTTCACAACCTAGCCAATCCTACCTTTCCAGTCTTCTCATGCTTTACTCCCTACCTCTTCGTCTGCATCCCAGTGACACTGGCCTTGTTGCTGTTCCTCACACTACATTCTATCTCCTGACTCTGCCTTTTCATGTCTGTCCTCCATGCCTGTTATGCCTCTCTTCACCTCTGCCTCATGGCCTCACTGGCTTCCTTCAAAACTAAGCTACCTAGCTTCTACAAGAAGCCCTTTCTCCTCACTTCTTCCCACTGAGATGACTTCCCATTGAGATTGCATGTATCTTGCATGTACGTAGTTGTTTGTATGTTGTTCCCTCCCCCTCATTAGAATATGAGCTCCTTGAGGGCAGGGACTGTTTTTGCCTTTCTTACAGTTTCCAATACATTCCTCTTTTTCAATTAGTATGGAATGGTTGTTGTACTTTGTTCTTGAAGAGGACCAAAATGACTTCACTTTGTTGCGGTTGAGGTATAGCATGTCCACTCTGGCTGATCAGACCAGTACGAGCTTGGAAGCTTTACCACAGGGTGGGCACAAATAGTCCACATGAACATTTGGAATGGACCTTTTTTGATCATTTGTATATGGAAAGGTTTGTGTTTGTCAGTGTTCAAGTTCATAACAATACATTTTAAAAGAATAGAATAGTAGGGTCATCCAAACTTGGGGAAAGTCTTAAATGCCAGCCTAATGATATAATCCTAACTTGGCAGGTGATCGTGAACCACTGCAGTATTTTTTAAACAGGAGACTGATAGGATTTCTGCAAGAAAAAATAAAAAAGACTTTACTGTTAAGTTCACATCTGTCTTCCATATTTTTTCCCAGTAAATCTCCTGTCAGAGAATCAGGGAAATGGTGTTGCCCAGCAGTGGATCCAAAGCAAAAGAGAAGACATTGTGAACCAGATGACTGAAGCTTGCCTCAACCAGTGCCTGGATGCCCTTCTGTCTAAGGATTGGCTTATGAAAGAAGACTATGAACTTATTAGCACCAAGCCTACAAGGACATCAAAAGTCAGGCAAATGCTGGATACATCTGACATTCAAGGAGAAGAGTTTGCCAAAATTATAGTACAGAAGTTGAAAGATAACAGACAATTGGGTCTTCAGCCTTACCCAGAAATATCTGTGGTTTCTAGGGGAACATCTTTAAATTTATTCCAAAATAAAAGCTTTTAAGTGTTTGCGTACCAGGAGGGAAAGTCAATTTATGAAAGGACATTTTTTTCTCTATCATGCTTCAGCTGCAACTTTAATTATAAATAATATTTTGACAGGTGTCTTACTGAGATCTCTTTTAAAGTTAATATAATTATTTCTGGATTCAACCCCATAGTTCGTCAAAGTATTTTTTTATGGATAGAAGTGGAAAACTTTTACTATAGTAGGTGGCTTACTATATTGTGTTTTGTAAATTGATGTTGTTTTAAGGATGAAGTAATTATACTTGTACTTGTTCATAAAAAGTGTTATATGATATTGTATTTTTCTGATGTAAGCCATTTCTACAATTGCTGAGTTTGTGAAGTATTTGTTACTTGCCTAAAGTACATTAAGGTTTCAAATAACATCTCTTTGTTCATCAAGTAACAGCAGCAAAAACAATAATAACAGCTGACATTTTTATAGGATTTACCATATGCCAGGCAGTGGGGCTAAGTGTTATAATTATTATCTCATTTGATTCCCCACAATGACTCTGGGAGGTAGGATTTTAAAGATGAGAAAACAGAGGTAAACAGAGCGTAAGTGTCTTGCCTAGAGCCACACGGCTAGTTAAGTATCTGAGGCCAGATTTGAACTCTGGTTTTCCTGACTCCAGGCCAAGTAATAGTGCAAAAGTACATCAGTATTTCAGGGATCTGTCTTTTGGAAATGTGAATACTCCCACCATTAATGCAAGATGGAATTTCCTTTGTAATTGAGGAGTTTGGGGAAGTTTTTTTTTTTTAAATCAGACTTGTGATTAATTTCTTGGGTTTGTAGAACCCCTGGATGACAAAACTCCCTGTACCAATGCAATTTGATACCTCTTCTGCAATTTACAGTTGGGGGATGTTACTTGAAGCACTTAGAGTTTAAATGATTTTCCCAGAATCACAATGCAAGTATGTATCAGAATCTGGACTTGAACCCAGGCCTTCCTTACATGGAGACAGTCTATTTAAAATATAGCAAGATGGCATAATGGATAAAATGTGGACCTGGGAGTCAGAAAGACCCAAACTAGAATCCTAAGACACTTATCTGCTGTGACCCTGGGGCAAGACACTTAAGGAACTTCTTTGTGTCTCAGTTTACTCACCTGTCAAATAGCACCTCCTTCAAAGGATTGTTTTGAGGATCAGATTAGTTGATAACATGATTAAAACCCCTTTGCAAACCTTAAAGTGCTATAAATACTAGCTGGTATAATTAGTACTGTCCACTACCACACACTACCTCTCTTAGATAGTTTTCAGGTATTGTTATAGCTAAAAAACTCATCACCGTGTGTCGTCTTTGGACTTGATTGACTAGCCTGGTTCTCAGACCATAGTGTGGCACATGGAAAAGACAGCCTGGTTCTTGAGTCAGGGCATATGGGATTCACATCCTAACCTGGACTCTTAATTACTTATGTCACCTTGGATAAGTCCTTTAACTTCCATAGGCCTTAATTTCTTTATCGTCAAAGTGTCTAGATGGCCTCTAAGATGCTTTTTAGCTCTAGATATGTGATCTTCTAGGCAGTCCATGCCTAGGCTTATAGTTAAAGCCTTTCCATCTTAGTAAGAATTTTTGGAACTTGCATTTCCCTGGCATAGCCTCTCAAATCCAGGGGTACCCTCTGAGCCATCCCCCATTTGACAGACTCCAGTGATTCCCTGTTACTTCTAGGATCAAATATTCCATTTCATCCCTCAGATTAATTCTAGACATGGCCAGTTGGGGTTAAGGCAAAGTTTTTGGTGCTATTATTAAAAAAGCAGACTGCAACAGATAAGATACTGAGCTTCTGGAAGGCCTGGGCTAAAATCCTATCTCAGATACTTAACTAGCTGTGTGACCCAAGGCAAGTTACTTGATGTCTCTGTACCCCAACTTCCTCATCTATAAAATGAGGGGCTTGGTGTCCATGAACTCTGAAGTCCCTCCTAGCTCTAAATTTAGTATCCTATGAAACCATGGACTTGGTAGAGAGGGGGGACAGGCTAGGCATTTGCAAGTGAGTACCCTCTAGTGTACAGGCTTTTAAGAAGTTTCTCCTATACATTTCTCAGAGAGAAACAGGGGTTCGTGGCTCAAGGAAAGTCCTTCTTTGGTGGGCAACTAAGACATTGTATGCCCTTGCTGGAGAATTAATACAATGACATACTGTCATTCTGTAAGCTTAATACACATATGTATTTAGACCACTTGCACTGTGTCACATCAGTAAATAACTGAATATAGAATGCCAGAGGCCAGACTGAAGGCAAGCCCCACTCTGCAGCTTCATCTCAATATGTTAGGGAATAAGGCATAGACCAAAAAAATTTCCTCTATGTAAATTATGTTCTGAATCCAAACTAATATTTGAGGTACCAGTTCTTTCTTGTTAATTGTCTTGTCCGAGACCTCAGTTCTTTTAATACTAGCCATGATGTTTTTGGGAATACAGAAACTTAAGCAGAAACTTCTTAAGATGATTCATCACAAACAAAAAATGCAACGCCATTGTTCCATCCTAGGCTTCCCAGAAAAAAATCTTTAGGAAGAAAAAGATGACAGCAACCTAAAGACTTGTTAAGAAATCAGATACCTAATTGCAAATGTATTTGCAATCATTCTGATCTGACCTAATTGAATCCTTTAGAATATGAAATGCTTACAGAAGAAATGTTGCCAAACCTTCCAAAAAACAGCTCTTCAGTCTTTGGGGTTTCAGCTGATACACTCACTTTCTCATGGCTGGGTCAGATTTCAACAGCTGGTTGAGCTGAGATTACTAAATGTAGAAAAAACTTAAAAGCCAAACTACAATGAAAGCCTTTGTATCATAGAGTGAATAGATAAGAACTGAAGAGGAATTTAAAGATCACAGTGATAAAATTGTTTCAGATTTTAAAAGGCAAAGAGTACAGTTATCATAGCAAAACTAGAGAGCTAACACTTCAAGGAAGAGTGGCAATGTTCATTGGCAGATAAATTGTGCACCTATACAAAACCATAGGTCCTTGAAACACTGAAAAGTCTATGCATTGTGTGCCAGGTTAAGTGCTGCTATGCCAAGTGAATTAAACAGACTTGCCATCATCTCTAGGAAATAACAACTAAAGATAGAAACATCATATGAACAGCCATATACAAGACACCCAAGCGACTACTGAATAAGTACATGTGTCAAAGGAAGCTTACATGCTGTCAATCAATAAATAAACATTTCTTAAGCACCTGATATGTGCCAGGAACTGTGCTAAGCACTGGGGAGACAACAAAAAAAAAAGCAAAAGATAGTTCTTGCCTTCAAGGAGAACAATCTAATGGGGGAGACCACATGCAAACAAATACATGCAAAGCAAGATACAGAGGGAAGGCACTGAAATTAAGAGGGCTTGGGGAAGACAACATAGAAGGTGAGATTTTAGTTGGGACTTAAAGGAAGCCAGGGAGATCAGTAAGTAGAGTGGAAGAAAAGCACTCCAGGCATGGGGGACAGCCAGAGAGAATGCCCAGAGCCAAGAGATGGAATAAGATCTTAGAACAGCCAGGAGACCAATGTCACTAGATCAAAGAGTGAATGCCAGGTATTCAGGTATAAGAAGGCTGGCCAAGTAGGAGAGGGCTAGATTATGAAGGGCTTTGAATGCCAAACAGAACATTTTGTACTTTTTTCTGGAGGCAATAGAAAATCACTGGAGTTTATCGAGCAGTAGTATTGCAGGTGACATGATCTGACCTGAATTTTAGGAAAATCATTTTAGAGGCAGAAAAGAAGATGGATTGGAGTGGGGAGAAATTTGAGGCAGACAGACCCACCAGCCAGATGTTACAGTAATCCAGGTGTGAATTGATGAGGGCCTGCATTACAGCACAGTGTCAGAGAGAAAAGGGGGTATATTCAAGAGATGTTACAAAAGTGAAATCAACAAGCCTTAGAAACAATTTGGATATTGGGGATGGGACATAGTGAGGAATCCAGGATGACTCTTAGGTTTTGAGCCTGAAGGACTGGGAGGATGGTATTGCCATCTATAGTAATAGGAAAGGTAAGCCAGAAGGGAGGGTTTAGGGGAAAGATAATGAGTTCTGTTTCAGATATATTGAGTTTAAGATGTCTACTGGACATGTAGTTGGAGATGTCTGAAAAGCAGCTGGAGATGTGAGATTAGAGCTCAACAGAGAGATGGGGCCAGAAAAGGTACATTTGAGAATGAGCATAGAGAAGGGACAGCGACAACTAGGTGGTGCAATAGATAGGGCACTGAGCTTGGAATCAGGAAGACTCATCTTCATAAATTTAAATTAAGCCTCAGACACTTTCTAGCTGTATGACCCTGGGCTTAATTTAACCGTTTGCCTTAGTTCCTCATCTATAAAATGACTTGGAGAAGGAAATGGCAAACCACTCCCATATCTTCAGTCAGACATGACTGAAAATGACTGAACCGCCACAGCATGAAGATGGTACATGGGAGCTGATGAATGTTGCTGTTTGTCCTTTGTTCTTAAAGAGGGCCACAGCATCAGGAAGGTGATGTCATGACTTGCAAGTGAAATGGATTTAAGCGAGGGAGGGCTGTGCAAAGTCACCAGCCTCACTTTCTTCTCTGGAGCCATCTGGGTCCAGTGGCAAGATATAAATCAGGACAACTGGAGATGGCCCTGGCTGCAGTGGGAAACCTTGGCCTTTTTAAGCTAAGGTCTTTCCCAGGTCTCAGTTTGAAGTCTAGGTAAGAAATGAAACAAAGAATGGATTCTTTTACCTAGCTAAAAAAATTAGTCTGGGAGGGGAAGACCCTCAGGGTTTCTGGCCAAAACAGAAACAATTACTATTTATGTTCACTTTGAGCCATCAGAGCCCAAAAAATGACCACTAAATGGGGCTTGGTCAGGGACCTATTGTTGGCCAGAGTGAGAGAGCCAGAGTGAATTGGGTTTAAGGCATGGTCGTTAAGAAAGAAATCTTAGACACTTGACACTTACTAGCTGTGTGACCTTAGGCAAGTCACTTAAACCCAATTGCCTCATAAAAAAAAAGAAAGAAAAAAAATCTTACCCAGTAAATCCCAAAATATCTTTAGAAGTTTCAGCAACCAAAATTTATATTCCTTTGGGCAGAACACCTTATTATTGGATAATTCAGTAATAATAAGTATTAGATCATTTAGGTATTCTAAAGTGGAATGAGTGATTCTACACATTCTAATTTAGAAACACATAGGGTATTTATAATCTATAACCACCTAGGCACATTAACATAGTGCCTGGATGCTTCACAAATGTGTTGCACATACATGTG